CTGCCCCGGGGGGCAGGGGGAGGGAAGGAAGCCACGCGGAGCAGAGTCCTGGAAGGAGAGCAGGAGCCGCTCTCCCAGCCCCTCCAGCCCCAGGCCCCTCTGGCCCCAGCCCGGGGCACCAGAGGGACACACAGCCCGCCTGCACGCCTGGATTTTCTGCATTGACAGTGGGAGGGATGGATTAGAGCAAAACTTGAATATGAAGATTGACATTTCCCAATGGCTTGGGCTTCAATCGGGGTAATTAGAAAGCAGGGTTTTGCCTTTGGGGTTTTCCCATTCTAAACAGGAGAAGCTGCCTGGCGTTGTGAAGCACCAACAGGCTTGGACGAACACTTGCTGGGGGTTTCCTTCCTGAGCCCAGGCGGGGACAGTCCAGGCTCTGTTCTGAGTGAGAGTGGGCACACCCGCTTCCCGCTCCCCAGAGAACCTGTGCCCCCGGGGCTCACCTGTCCATGCCAGGTGCTTTATGTTCATGATCTGCTCAATGCTGTGCTCATTTTGTTCTCTGCTTCACAGATGAGGAACTGGGCAGCACTGAGTCAGCCTTGGCCAGGCCAGTGAAGGCCCAAGCTGACCCTCCTTTCCCTCCAGCCCCTTCCGCCCCAGGCCCCTCTGGCCCGAGCCCAGAGCACAGAGGGACACACAGCCCGCCTGCCCGGTGCCACTTCTGCACACCTGGGTTTTCTGCATTGACAGTGGGAAGGATGGATTAGAGCAAAACTGAAATATGAAGATTGACATTTCCCAGTGGCTTGGGCTTCATTTGGGGTGCTCTCTAGTCCTCCCAGAAAGCCCCTGGGTGCTTCTCACCTCCAGTACAGTCAGGAAACGGAGGTTCCAGTGATAGAGGCTTTCCCCAAGGTCACACAAGGTCAGTACCTGACACCTGAAAGGCATTTCAGCCACCACACACGCATGCGCACACACCACCTGCATAAACCTCCTCGACTTGTCACTTAGTCACATTTCCAAACTCGCATTTGAGGACTCACAGATGGGATGAGAGGTCTGCAAAGCGTGTCTGGGAGCACACACAGTCAGCCATGTTAGGCGTGGTGACTTCCAGTCAGCAGTACAATGAGCAGTGATGATTCTTCTCCTGTGGTTAGTGTCTGATCAATTTTGCAGCCACTGTATGTATTTTACGAAAGATTGAATATAAGAGACGGGCATGTGACCCTGGGAACCCAATAGATCTGGGTTTAAATACCTGCTCCCTGGTGTGCTGGGCCTTGGCCTAACTTGCCGGGAGTCTGGCTTTCCTCATCCGTGCACAGGGCCAGATTAAAGGAGACGCCCCGTGAGGCGCCTAATTCACGCTGTTGGCTGTTGTTTGACTGGTGTTTTCCCTCCCTAAGCATCCTCTGCCTCAGGAAAGGCCCACCAAGTGTGCACCTGCACCTGTGTGGGGAGCGTGGGAAGCGGGCAGGTGTGTGGGGGAGGGGGCAGGTTTCCCTCTGGCCCCTCTGTTGAGGCCAGTAAGCAGAGAGGAGGGTTGCACTGGGAGTGGGTTGCTGGGTGAAGTCAAAGCTTGTGAAAGCCGTGGCTGCTTGCTTCCGCATCTGGAGGAGTGGTGTGAGCTATTTGAAGAAGCAGTTGCAGGAAGAGACTCTTGGGACAGAAATGGGAGGCTTGCCTTCGAACTGCTCCTCTCGCTTATTCCTCTTCCCCAGAAAGCAGCCCTGATTCTGGGAATCAGAGTTCTCTACCCGTCTGGAAGCATCCAGACGTCTTTTTTAGTACATAGCAATTTTATTAAGATATAACTTACATACCATGCAACGCACCCACTTAAAGTGTATGATGTGGGGCCTCCCTGGAGGTGCAAGGGGTTAAGACTCAGCTCTGTGAAGCTGTCCACAGCCGCTGCTGCACGAGTCTGATCCCCTGCCAGGGAGGTGATCCATCCTGCCCAGCAGACCTCTCCTGTCTCCCCGCTACTCCCCTCAGCAGTGGATTTCAGTAGATCTGCTTGTTCTGCTCCCCACTGTCTCTGATGAAACCTCTGCACCCAGCCCTTGTATAATAATAAAGTATATGATACAGTGACTTTTAGTAATCAGATCATTACCACTATAATTTTCAGAAAGTTTTCATCACTATTAAAAGATGACCCTTTACCTAGAGCAGTCACTCTCTGCTCCCCCCCAGCCCTAGAAAATCACTGATACACTTTCCGTCTCTAGTTGTCTGTTCTGGACATTTCATCTATGAATGGAATCACCTGTGTATGGTCTCTTGTCTCTGGATTTGTTCACTTAGCACAGTGTAATCAAGGCACAGCCATGGTGCAGCCTATCAATACTCCATTCCTTTTGATTGCTGAATGATATTCCGTGGCATGGACATTACCACCTCCTGTTTAATCACCCACTCCTAGTGGATGGACATTAGCCGCCCCTTTTGAAGTTAATATGGATTAATTGCCCATGTGATCTGTGAAGTACCTACTGTGTGCTAGGTGCTTGACCTAGTTTCAAGTCCGAGCAATGGTCCAGGGAGGCAGGTCTCTTTCTCCTATCATGCTGGTAAAGAAACTGAGTAGAGATGAAGTGGCCCATCCAGGGCCACACTAGTGCCAGAGATGGAATGAGAAAAGATCAACCTGGTCACTAGTTTGTGGCTTACTGCACACCTCCCACTTGCCCGGGCCCACCCCTCTCTACCCCCGAGTTCTGCTCTCCTTCCAGGTGGCTGAGGCCAGAGTCAAAAAGAATGCGCTCGTTTGGCAATCATTCGTTCAGCAACTCTAACTACCCCTCTGGATGGCTCACATGCATTAGGTTGTTGGGGACCAGCCCCAACTATCGAGGTGCCTGGAAGCGAGACAGGCAGGGCCTCAAGGTGGGAAGGCGTAGGCCAGCGGAGATTCCAAAAGGAGAGAGGGGAGCAGGCGCGAGGAAGACATGGGAGTCAGGGTTGGGTGCAAGTGTTCCTGATCATTCCCTCAGCAGGTCTTTATTTACACTGTGTAACAAGTAGTTAATTGTAATAATGCATAGGGTAAGCTAATGAGAGATCGCCATAAAACGTTCTCAAGGACAAGGGGAACAAAGCATTTTTCTCTTAACATTTTATGGTATACTTGATTATATGTGTTTGTGATAATTGTCATGTGTACAGATGTTTGTTATCACCCAAAGGAAGAGGGGTCTGGAAGGGATGACCTCCATAGCAAAAGGTTTTTGGGGTCTTGGGGTAGTAATAAGTTGTGTTAGCGGTGTTAGCAGTGATTGTCTAAAGGAAAGCTAGTGGCTAATTTAAGGCTTGCAGAGAGTAGTTAGTGCTTGTTTTAAAAAGGAGTAAATTAAGAGAATGTTGTACAGTTGTGCAATCAAGGTTAAACTTTGTCCATGAGCCCTTATGCCCTGGGAGTCTTATCTGAGGTTTTCTTTTTAGTTTAAAGAAACCAAGGAAGCTTCCCAGGAGTTTTTATGCCCTGGGGTCTTATCTCTCCAGGGGCTTGTCTCAGAAGACAGAGGAATTTCTCGCCCTGGGCCAGCTTGCGTGGGCCAGGCAGCCGCCTTAGGAGGCTAAGACAACCCAGTTGTAAACTGATGGTTGCTCAGAATATTTTGATATCATGATGATACGAAAAAGGGAGGTCGTAACATAAGTTAGCAGTAGAAATTCTGATTTTTCAGAGCTTTTCCCAATCTACCCAAATCTGTCAGTTGATAGACGTTGCATAGCTTGTGTCACCAGGTGACACCCAGAAGCCACCTCCTGGAGCTCTCTGTCCAGGTGAAGAGAGGGTTTCAGGAGGCAGGCACTGGCTGCCAGGAAGGGGGTGACTCAGAGCTGGGGAGAACCCAAGCAGATTTTTGGAGAAGATGACACTTTGTGCAGGACCCCAGCAGACCCAGCAGAGACAGACCAGCCTCATGGGCTCACAGACCCAGAGACAGGGAGGCCAGCAGGCAGCGGAGGGGTGGGGAGGTTGGAATCACATTGCTGAGGGCCTTGATGACAGGCGGACTCTGAGCTTTCTCTGAGGGCAGCGGCAAGGGCACGTTTTGAGCCAGCTAAGATGGGAGTCATCAGGGGCATTCTGGTCTGTCTTCAGTGCCAGGTTCCTGGATGGAAATTGCCCCTGGACACCGGGGAGCACAGAGCTCAGACCCTGCACAGCTCTTAACTCCCAACACTAGAACAGCGCCTGACACACAGGGGAAACCTTACACATTTGTTGAAAGAATGAACCTGCTGCCAGCCCCGCCTCACTGACCTCCCCCAGCCCCTCTCCTGGCTGCGTGGAACAAAGCACAGGTATAGCCCACGTAGGGACGTTACTCAAGCTTCCCCTGCACCCCTGCCCGCTGCGAGGCTTGATGGCCACCACCTGCGGCCTCACCTGCCTCCCAGGTTTCATTGCCCAATCGTGATACCTAGCTGGTGCAAAAAGGGTTTGGGGCCAGCTCGGGGCATGCACGCCTTTGATTACAGACGCCAGGGGCCTGAGGCCCAGGGCAGGCACCTCAAGTGCCAACGCCCGGGCGAGCTCATTACGTGATTACGCAGGGGGAGGCGGAGAGAGACCCTGACCCCTGGCCCCTGCCTGCCCACCACTCCACCCGGGTTCTCCCAGCTTCTCGCCCTGGTGGTCACAAGTCAGCAGTAGCCGTGACCAGAGCGGTGTCCAAGGTTGTTTCCTGTGGTGAGACTGGCCCACTGCTGAGAAGCAGAACTGAGACTCCCCAGGAGAAGGGACGCCATCCAGCTTCCAGATGGGGGTGCACAGTGTCCAGATGGGGGAGGTGTGGGGAGGAGGCGGCCCCCAAGGAAGGGACTCCTGGGGGCAGGGAGAGGCTGGGGTGCTCCAGGCTCAGTGGGGTGGACACCGGGGTGAGGATTCCGTCCCTCAGGGCTGCAGCCACACCAGACGCTTCCACCAGAACCCACTCGGCTCCTGCCGTCACTCCAGGCTGGGCATCCCTGGGAACACACACTGCCACCTCAAAGCCTGCAGAGTGCAGCAATACTTGCCTGAGTCAGAGAAACTTTATTTTTCTATAAAATGATTCCCCAGAGAAATTGTTTCTGTGATTACCCCAAATTCAAAACCTTCCTTCTTCATGAAGGGGCAAGCAGCTTCCCGAGGCTTCATCAGCGGTCCTTCTGTCAGGCAGGTGAGCTGGTTCCAAGGGCCCTTTGGGTGGCCTATCCCTAGCTAGTGTTAAAACCTTCTGGAACATTCTCTCCAGGAAGAACCACCAGCTCCTTACCCCTCTCATTGTACAGATGGGAAAAGTGATGCTCTCAACAGGGGAGAGGTCGCAGCGGTGGGACCCGGCCCAGGGACCCCCCACTCCACCCTGACTGCTCTGTGTACTCCCCACGCCCACCGCCCTTCTCTAACCAAGCTGTGCAGCTGCTGGGGGGACAGGCAGAAGACAGGGCCCCCCATCAACACCAGGGGTATTGCTGAGGCCACTCCAAACTCTGCAGCTGGAAATTACCTTAGCTGTGCAGAGCCAGCCACCCTCCCTCCCCAGCACGCCCATCCCCTCAGGCCAGGGGTCAGCCAAGACCACTGGCCTTCTGCTCTGCAAAGAAAGGACTAGCCTCAGGTCTCCATGGCCTCTGTCAGCTGAGCTCAGGCCCCTTCACTGCTGATCAGAACTCAATTGGAAATAACATAAGTCATACATGTATATAAAGAAAAGACGACAGGCTACTTCGTGCGTAGCCCGAGTGTGCAGACTTCGGCTGCCTTGTGCTATGGGGTGTCACAGGTGGGGAGACTATTAGTGAAAGCATCCTCAGGGGACCCGGGGGGCCGCGATGCGCTCACAGGGTCCTCTTTCGGCCGGCATTCCCGGTACACGAGGACAGGGTGGGCGAAGGTGAGGAGGGTGGCAAGCACCAGCACCAAATTGACCTGGAGAGAGGAAGCAGGAGTGAGGCCACAGCCAGCCTCGGCCACATCCACACCCACTGGCCAGCGGGGAGCTGCCTGCTGCCTCTTGCTACCCCAGGGGCTGGGGGGGGGAGTGGGACAGGGCTCAGGCCCTTTCAGGGACGCTGAAAGGAGGCGGGACTCCCAGGCCAGCAGGAGGCCTGTGATGACGCCCACTCTCCTGTCACAGGCAAGCAACCCTCGGTTTTAGGCTCAGTACTAATCTTCTCCCAGTATCTGAAACTTCGTTGGTCTTCTGAAAATGAGACTGGTGGAGTGTGACCGTGCCCGGGACACTGACCTTCATGGGGAGAGCTCCAGGTGGGGTGTTTCTCCATGCAGAAGGCACAGAGCCAAAGTCTTAGAGCCCCAGTTTGGGCCCCTTCCCAGGGCTGGGCCCAGGGGCGCCCCTGGGTGCAGAGGTGAGAGCACAGAGCTCCTGCCCCTTGGACCTGCGTGGGTTCCTGTATGGGTGCAGACTGAGGGCCTGAGGAAAGCTGGAAGTCTCTGTTTTCTTGTTTGAGATGTAAGGGCTTCATAGTCTCCTCCAGGATGTGTGTGTTTATTTACACACACACAATATTTTCTCCCCGAATCTCGCACTAACAAGGACTCTCTGGGAAGCCCAGGGCCGGGGAAGGCCCCCACACTGACCCCGTGTGAGAAGCAAGGCTTGGGGCAGACTCTGCTGGGGGCCCACTGAGTCACCTCAATGGGGTCACCCTTGCCGTGCAAGGCCCCCCCCCACCATACTCACGTAGAACGGGTCATTCTGGAGGGGGCCTCTGATGAGGGTGAATATGGGAAACTGGAACAGAGACACCAAGGCAGAGAAGGCCATCACCAGACCGAAGAGCTTCCCAAAGTGCTCCGCGGGGAAGCTGGGGAGAGAGACATACGGGGTTCCGGGGTGCTCAGGGACTGACCCTCCAGGGGGCCAGGCGCTGGTGGGTCTCGGTTAGTGCATGTCCTGAGTGCCCATCCCAGGCCTGCCCCACGCACCCACACCCCAAGCCTAGCCCTGGGCCTTTGCATTTGCACTGGTTCTCAGACCACAGGGCAAAGATGAGGCACTGGGAGATGGGAAACTAGCAGAGACCCAGATCCAGCGTGTGCCGAGGGTGGGGGCGGGCTCAGGGCGAGACACGGGTCCTGCCAAGCCAGGGTTGCTCACACACACTGCCAGGGGAAGCAAGAACTGGGTGTGAGGACACACAGGCAGGGCGCTTTTGGGCTCCCCTACAGGGCACTGAAACAGACTGGAAACAACAAGTGTTGGCAAGGATGGGGAGGAAAAGAACCCTCATCACCAGAGGGATGACTCTGGTGCAGCTTCTATGAGAAAGGTCTGGAGGGCCGCCCTGGTGGCCTCTGGGTTAAGTCTCAGCGCTGTCACTGCTATGCCCTGAGTTCGGTCCCCAGCCAGGGAGCTGACCCACATGGTGCAGCAGACCTCTCCTGTCTCACATGCTGCTCCCCTCAGCAGTGGACCTCAATGGATCCACCTATTCTACTCCCCACCCTGTCTCTGGGTGGGGAATCTGCTCAACTCCCACATCCCTGGCCTACACCCCCAGTTCTGCTATACAAGAATGAAAAGAAAATGGAAACAGCATAAGATGCAAAATATTTGCCTAGAGTTTGAAATCACTAATATGAAAAAACATGTGCTTGCCTATGTCCATGGCAGCATTATCCCCCATAGCCAAGTCATGGGACCAACATGAAATCCCAACCACAGGTGACTGGATTAAAAAACAAACAAAAAAACTAGGGATATCTATCTAATGGAATACTATTCAGCCATCAAAAAGATGCCAGCATGCCAATGGGTGGCTCTTGAGTTGACGATACTAAGTGAAATAAGTCAGTGAGAGACAGTTACACCATCTAGATGGTCTCACTCATGCTTGGAATAGAAATAACCAAGGAAAACACAACAAAAATAACTGATTCTGTGAACAGCACAGTGGTTACCCGAGGGTGGCAAGAGGGCATTGGAGCTCCAGGTGGAGGGAAATGAAGGTGGTGTGAAGTTGTATCCCCAAGTTATGTAAATTTCACAAGTTTGTGGGGAAAAAAAAGAGCGGGCCTTGGAAGGTGGCCAGGTGTTCTCTCCCTAAGAGAGGTCACAGGGGCCCAAGGCACAGAGACACCAATTCCACGGACACACACTGCATCCCCCCACCTGTCCCAGGCTCTTCACCGCTGCAGACCCGTGTGCCCCTCCCCCACTCCATCACCCACCCCCAGGAGCACCCCCTCGCCTCTGTGTCCACACTAGCCCCGCGGCCCGGGCCACTTACGCGAGGGTGAGGAAGGCAGCGTTGCCGCCATAGAGGAAGGAGCGGCAGACCACCTGCAGCACGAACGTGAGGTACTGCAGCGGGAGCACCGGCACCGAGGCGCACAGCGCGAAGCCCAGGCACAGCAGCGACGTCAGGGCCAGCGAGGGCACCGTGGAGCAGAGGGCCACGGCCGAGGCTGAGCAACCTGCGCGGAAGAGGAGTGGCACAATGGGCAAAAGCGTGGGGCGCCACCCACCCACCGTCCAGCAGAAACCTGGGGTCCCTCCTTGACCCCCAGTGGCGCCTGCTCGGTCCATCCCTAGTGTGGCTCCTCAGCCTCCTGAGCTTCTTCCCAGCGCTGCCTCCTGGCTCGCCCTGGCGCCCGCCACTGTCACCCCACAGGCAGGGCGGACACAGGCGTCCAGCGTGCTCCTGGGCCAACCCGCCCAGGCCCGTCCGCCAGCTCCAGGCCGCCGACTGTGTGGCACCATTCAGCAAAGCCAGGGCAGCGCAGACACTGGAGAAAGCACCCCAGGACACCCATCGCACAGGGCAGAGCAAAGAGGGGGCCTGCCGGAGCAGGCTCCGGAGCGCCGCCTGACACCGCAGGATGGCGCCGCCCCCCGCCTCTGCCAGGCAGCCACAGAAGCGCAGCCGTGGGGCATGATGCACAGCTATGCATCACGTTGCGTGTTGCAGCAGAAATGGACGTGGGTCAGGCCTGCATGGGAGGGGAAAGCACTAAAAATACCAGAAGAAAGGGGAAGAGCAGGGAATTCAACTTCTTTGAGTGGGTCTTGTTTTACATTCTTGGCTTTGGGGAAGTGTAAATGTTTAGAAAATTAAATCTAAACAGGAAGAAAACAAGCAAAGCCATCCCCCCACTCAGGAAAAATATACAACCAGTGGCACGACTTTGTCAGTTTGGTAACATTTAAACACGGTCATTTGCCTGTGGAACCCCTGTGGGTATATCCTGAGCCGGGGAGGGAGGAAGATGAGCTTTAGCAATCAGCATAGTGTTATTAATGGGGCTGATTTTGCTAAACCAGTAGTTATATATAAAATGCATGGTTAGGGCCCTCCCTGGTGGTGCAAATGGTTAAGTCTCAGCACCAAGGAGCTATTGCCAGCCACTAGAGCACGAGTTCTATCCCTGGCCAGGGAGGTGACCCACATGGCACAGCAGACCTCTCTTGTCTTGCCTGCTGCTCCCCTCAGCAGAGTATTTCAGTCAGTCCATCTCTTCTGCTCCCCACTCTGACTCTCATGAGTCCTCTCACCACCTCCGCTGACCCACACTTCTGGCCTATACCCCAACTCTTGTATGCATAAATAAATCTTTTTTAAAAACTTTTAAGTACTATATGTGTATATATAACATGCATAGGGTATAGAGCATATGCATAGGAATAACTATACATGTATAGACTATCATAAGGGACCATGACTTTCAAAGGAAAAGAGATACAAACATAAAGGAAGTAAAATTTGAGTTAAAATATCCTTGACTAGGTATCTCCATTATTCCTAGCCATACCTATTATTAGATATTTGTGATGTGTTTTATTTCCATGATTCTCTCTCTCTAACTCTACCTAATGACAATGTCAGGCAGGGACAACCCAGGAGAGTCAGACGCCCTGGCGTCCAGAGGACAGCCCTCAAAAACCCTTTCTGTTCAAGAAACCGGGGCCACGTGGAGAAATGGCTGGTTCCAGCCCTGGGGCAGGAAACTCAGACCGTTTCCTGTCCCATTGTCCTGGTGTATTAACAACACCAGGACAGTGGGGTTCCCAGTGGCCAAAAGGGGGGTGACTGAGCATCTGGGGAATCATGACAGAATGAATTGAAACCTGATAAATATATTTAAAATGAGACTTTAAAAAAATGAGTCATTAACCCCTGGGGGTTTAGGGTACCAACTGATTATCCAGAAGAATAATAGAGAGGAAGAACCAAGCACATGAATCATGGCTACAAACCTATGAATGAGCCAGTTTGTCTTTCTAGAGAAACCTTAGTGATTAAAAGTCGAAGGAAAGCTAGAAATAAGAAATCTTCCGAATAAAATAAGGGGGCCAGGCCCTGGCAGCTGCAGGCTCTGGAAAACCTTATCACGGACGGCTCAGACCCAGGGTCTGAACCGGCTAATCAATCTTCACATTGCTGGGACGGCCAGAGCACACGACTCCACCTCCTCCTGAGCTATTCTTGACCCCAAATATTCTCGACCCTCCCCCCCTGCCTCCCATTTTCAGGAATTAGCCAATCAAAGGAATATGATGCCAAATCCAAACAACAAAAAATATAACAAGACAAAGACCCAGCTCCCTCAACATATAAACAAGAAGCGTGGGAGTCTCCTTAGAGTGAAAGAGACATTAAAGGCGCCTTGACCAAATCCATGGGGGTCTGGGGCCCCTCTGTGGCCCCTCTTCGGAACAAATCAACTGTAAAAAGGACTTTCTTTGAGACGCATAGGTAAATTTGAACAGGAATGTTTGGCAGATGCTCTGAAGAAATTGTAGCTTTGTTAAAGGTGTGATGATATTAGGAGAGGGAGGTTATGGTGGTGCTTAACAAGAGAGACCTTCTATGCTAGAGTTGCAAACAGTTTTCCTAGATGATTTGCTTGATGGGTTGGATGACAGTGGGGGGGGGGGATGGGCGAGGGGACAGATACAACTCTAAGAGAAATGTCACTCCACATTCACCTTCGTCCCAACCCCCCTCCCCCC